CAGGAGTTGATTTATAGGTAGTCAGTCAAAAAATGAATATAGGAATCTAAAAGAGACAGAAAAATTCTAGATTGAATAAACTAAAGCTAATATAAAAAAGGAATTAGTATAAAGGCAGGCAAACAACCAATATAGGGAAGCAGGACCAGCAGAGATGAGGAGAAAGTGAAGAGGCAGTGTCCAGAAACCCACGAAGAAAAAGGGGGTTGAGGAAGAAAGACAGGGACAGGGCTAACAGAAAAAGTGACAAAACAGGACTGGGGCACATAGAAGGCAAAGATGCTGGGTTCCAGAAGGGGAGTGACTCGACGCAAAGAGGAGGGCCAAGAAGGGGGAACTATAACGGAGGGAGACAGAAGAGGATCCAGTAATATGGAAGACCCTTCAAGAGGAGGTAGGTCAGCCGCGGCCCACCCCAGGGCAGCGCAGAGGGGGTCAACAGATGGGGTGAGCATGGGGGAGGGGGGTGATGAGCGGAAGAGCAGGGTCGTCCTCAGAAGCTAGAACGGTAGGTGGGTAGGGACAGGCTGCAGAACCTGAGAAGTGCTGAAGGTGCCGGTCCCGGTAGAGGTACCGGAGGGGGAGGGGCAGGCAGGGCCGGCAGCAGGAGGACAAAATGGCGGCGGCTAATGGCAGCTTCTCCTCCTCCCCCGCCCCCCCTCCCCGGCCCGCCACCGCCGCCGCCACCGCCGCCGCCGCCGCCGGCGCCCCCACCCCGGAAAAGGGTGTCAGCGCTCTGCTCGCCCAGACTCACCTGGCCGGGTGCGCGGGGGTCCGGGACCGGGGCTTAGTGGTTCCCCGGGGCGGATGGCGGTGGGGCGGGGACGGATGGCGGCGGATGGCGCCGGGTTCGGCTCCTCCCGTCTCCCTCGCTCACTCCGCGCTGGGCTCCGACTAACGGCCCATCCGGGCAACCGCCGCCCCCGGGAGCACCCCCCCACCTCCCTCTGCTTTTGGATACGCCCCCTAATTTACATAAAGGGCGGGGCCTTTCCCATCCTATTCCTCTTCTAAGGCTGTCCACAAAAAAAAAAAAAAAAAAGATTGGGTGAGCTTTTAGAGGTTATTTGCATAAAGAGGAGGGACTTACAGGCGCTAGGATGCCGGTTGGCTGAGGAAGTAGGCCTCCAGCGTCGGCCGTTGAGACGCGTAGAGGAGGCGGGACTGCGGCGCCGGTCAAGTAGGCGGTTGGGGCGCAGAATTTACACGACGACTGCTAGGAGAAAGAGGTGGGGCATGCGTCGTGCGTCCTTGGGAAAATGGGAGCGGAGAGACGTCGGGACGCTGAAAATGGAAGGAAACGATGCAAAGCCGGTAGTCCTTCCAACGGACCAGACGGGGAACTGGGAGAACGGGAAGGACTAGCTAGCGGGAGGCGGAGTTTACGTAGACCCGGGGAGAACCCCAGGTCACGCGTCCTTTCTCGAGAGGTGAAGGCATCTGTGGGGCCTAGCCTTCCATTTATTTAATCATGGAAGTGGGGTAGGTAGGCCAATCCAAGGGTCCTAAGGAGTATCATCGAAACTCCAGCTCAGGCATTTTTTGAATAGTTTAAATCATTTGAACAAAGACTAGGAACAAGCAACTCATCAAAATATTGGCAAGTAGTGACCAAGACATTTAATATCTTCTAATTTTTACGACTTTTATATTTGATATTTTTTGCAATTTGTATCCTCTCAACTATGACTTTTAATGCTTGAAATAATAGTACTTTGTCTCAGTATTTTGACTGTAATAGAGCCCTCTGGAGCTCTCTGGTCCCATCAGACCTATTGCTTATTCACATCATTATGAATAACACAATTTTGAAGCACTGGAAATATGCACAAAATATTACAGAGGTTAGGGGCATAAAAGCTGGGGAAGTGCTTGGAGAAAAAAAGGGGCTAGACGGTGTGTCTCAGCAGTAGAACTCCCGCCCAGCAAGTCAGAGGGCCTGAATCCAGACCCCAGTACCACCAAAACCAAAATAAAACTTACTAGATGTGAATAACTAGCTAGAACTTGACTAATTTTGAGGAGACGGTGCACTTAGGTGCGGTGAGCAAATGAGTGGAGGCCTAGCTGACATGGCTAAATAAAGTGACTGCTCAATAGAGACAATGAAGACAAAAGTTTTCAGGACATACTTAACAAGTTTAGCTTTGGTTAGGGGTATTAGCTTAGGGGTACAACTTATCATGATCAAGGCCTGAGTTTAATCCCCAGCATCAAATAAGTAAAATTTTAGCCAGACCTTGGTCTGTAATCATAAACTACTCAGGAGGCAGAGATCTGAAGATTGTGTATTGAAGCAAGTTCAAACAGGAAAGGCTGAGACACTCTTATCACCAGTTAACCACCAAAAAGGTAGGAAATGGAGTTATAGCTTCAAGTGAGAGTCTAACCTTGAGCAGAAAAAGCTGAGACACAGTGCCTGAGTTCAAAGCCCAGTTTCAGCACACAAAAAAATAAAATAACACCGGGTGATGGTGGCTCACGCCCTGTAATCCTAGCTACTCAGGAGGCTGATATCTGAGGATCTTGGTTCAAAGCCAGCCTGGGCAGGAAAGTCCATGAGTCTTATCTCCAATAAACTACTAGAAAACCTGAAGTGGCACTGTGGCTCAAGCAGTAGAGTGCTCGCCTTGAGCTAAATTGATGAGGGACCAAGCCCAGAGTTCAAGCCCCATGACTGACAAAAATAAATAATTTAATTTAACCTAAGGTTCACTAAGATTTAAGATGAATCCTTTTTTTTTTTTCCTAGTCGTGGGACCTGAACTCTTGGGCCTGGATGCTGTCCCTCAGCTCTTCAACTTAAGGCTAGCACTCTACCACTGGAGCCACAGTGACACTTCCGGCTTTTTCTGCTTATGTGTGCTGAGGAATTGAACCTAGGGCCTCATGCATGTGAAGCAAGCACTCTACCATTGAGCCACCTTCCCAGCCCTGAATCCAATTTTTATGTGTCATTTATATATTTATTTGCACTGCTGGGTATTAAAGCTAGGGCCTTCAAGCATGCTAGACAAATTTGTGCTGTACCCTCAAATAAAAATTTAACCTGAGGCTCATTAAGATTGAAGATGGCTTGTTTTCAAGCTTGAGCAGAAAAAGCTAAGCAAGAGTATAATAAGGCCTGAGTTCAAGCACAAAAAAATAATTTAAGGTGAGTGCTGGTGGCTCACGCCTGTAATCTTAGCTACTCAGAAGGCTGAGATCTGAGTATCAAGGTTCAAAGCCAGCTCGGGCAGGAAAGTCCATAAGACTCTTATCTCGAATTAACCACCAGAAAACCAGAAGTGACCCTGTGGCTCAAAGTAGTAGAGCACTAGGCCTTGAGCTGAAGAACTCAGGGATGGCGCCCAGACCCAGAGTTCAAGCCTAACAACTGACAAAAAAAAAAGTACAAACCCTCAAAGTACTTATTAACTCATATAACATTTGTGTGTGTGTGTGTGTGAGAGAGAGAGAGAGATCAAATATTGAGGCTTGAATTCAGAGCCTCAAACTCTCACTTGGCTGGTGCTCTAGCACACCTCCAGTTCCAGCTTTTGGCTGGTTAATTAGAAAAAGTTAGCCCCAGGGGCTGGGAATGTGGCTTAGTGGTAAGTGCTTGCCTAGCTAGCATGCATGAAGCCCTGGATTTGATTCCTAGTACCACATAAACAGAAAAAGCCAGCACTGTGGCTCAAGTGGTAAAGCTCTAAGAGCCTTGAGCAGAGAAAAGCTCAGGGACCGAGTCTAGGCCCTGAGTTCAAGGCCCAGGACTGGCAAAAAGAAAAAAGGAAGGAAGGAAAGAGAGAGACAGAGACAGAATGAGTCAGCCTGGACTGACTTTCGGACCTCAGTTCTCAGACCTGCTGTCTGAGCCATAGTTCTACTTCCCACTTTTTGTTTTGTTTTGTTTTTGGGTCCGGTCGTGGTGGGGCCTGAACTCTGGGCCTGGGTGCTGTACCTCAGCTCTTCAGCAAGGCTAGCGCTCTACCACTGGAGCCACAGCGCCACTTCTGGCTTTTTTCTTTTTGCTTATGTGATGCTGAGGAATCGAACCCAGGGCCTCATGCATGCAAGGTAAGCACTCTACCACTGAGCCACCTTCCCAGCCCTACTTCCCACTTTTTTGTGGTTAATTGGAGATAAGAGTCTTACAGACTTTTCTGCCTGGGCATCTTATAAACTATGACCCTCAGACACTAGTTGTTTCAGTCATCCATAAAGATTCATTCAAGTTCTCAAATAGTAATAAAACTTGAAGAAGCGTGGCATCAGTGGTTCATAATTGTAATCCTAGCTACTCCGGAGGCTGAGATCTGAGGATCACCGTTCAAAGCCAGCCCTGGCAAGAACATCTATGAGACTCTGCTCTCCAATTAACTGCCAAAAAGCTAGAAATGGTGCTGTAGGTCAAAGTGCTAGAGTACTAGCATTGAACAAGTGGTAGAGCGCTCACTTTGAGCTGAAGAGCTCAGGGCCTGAGTTCGAGCTCCAGGACCAAAGAAAAGCCAAACAAAACTTGAATTAGTCTGCCTCTGGCGCCACACCACCAGCCCCAGGCAGGCCTGGGTCACAGTCTTCCTACTTGTGCTTCACTGAGTTCTGCAGATGACAGATACATGCCACTGCACCCAGCCATTGGCTGATATGGAGTCTTGTGAACTTTTTTTTTTTTTTTTTTTTTGGTCATGGGGCCTGAACTCTGGGCCTGGGTGCTGTCTCTCTCAGCTCTTCAGCTCAAGAATATGCTCTACCACTTGAGCCACATTGCCACTTCTGGCTTTTTCTACTTATGTGGTACTGAGGAATCGAACCCAGGGGCCTCATGCATGCAAGGCAAGCACTCTACCACTAAGCTACCTTCCTAGCCCTTGTGAACTTTTTGACTTGACTAGCCTTGAGCTAAGATGTCTGATCTCCTCCCAAGTTGCTAGGATTACAAGCTTGAGCCACCATGCCCAGCAAGTTTTAAACCAAACCCAGTGAGTTAAAAATCCCCCAAATAAAAACCAAGCTGATTTGACTGGGGGAGGGGGGCAGGAAAATTGATTTATTTAATCTAGTTCAACTCTGGCTCACAATTTGTCTTCTTTATCCATGTTGCCCAATTAAGGCAACTCAGAGATAGCTCTCTTGGCTGGGGGACCCGTTGGTTTTTCCTGTTCTCTGGCTCTTTCCTCATACATCAGGATCCTGAAATAGACATAGGCATCAGGGGACAACTCCCAAGGGAACAAATGGACTGCTGAGAGTCTAGAAGAGGATGGTGAAGTGGGAGGTAAGGATAGGAAGAATAAGAGAACTAGAGCAATAGATGAAGTTGAGACTAGCAAAAAGACCATAGGACAAACCGGGCACTGATGGCTCACACCTGTGATCCTAGCTATTCAGGAGGCTGAGATCTGAGAATCACAGTTCAAAGCCAGCCCTGTGGCTCAAGTGGTAGAGTACTCAACTTGAGCTGAAGAGCTCAGGGACAAGCACCCAGGCCAAGAGTTCAAACCACACAACTGACAAAAACAAAGACCATAGGACAGTCAGAGAGTCCCTCAAAATTAAAGAATGGGAATGTGGCTTAGTGGTAGAGTGCTTGTCTAGCATGCATGAAGCCCTGGGTTCCAATCCTCAGTACCACATAAGCAGAAAAGACTGGAAGTTGTGCTGTGGCTCAAGTGGTAGAGTGCTAGCCTTGAGCAAAAGAAGCCCAGGGACAGTGCCCAGGCCCTGAGTTCAAGCTCCAGGACTGGAAAAAAAAAAAGAAAATCTGGGTGCTGGTGTCTTACGCCTGTAATCCTAGCTACTAAGGAGGTTGAGATCTCAGGATCACAGTTCAAAGCCAGCCTGGGCAGCAAAGTCTATGAGACTCTAATCTCCAATAAACTACAAGATAACCGGAAGTGGAGCTGTGGCTCAAGCTTTGAGCTGAACAGCTGAGAGACAGCGCCCCTGTCCAGAGTTCAAGCCCCACAACTGACCAAAAAAAGATGAAAGAGTGGATGCTGAGTAATACATGGACAAGGGTAGTACTGAGAATGGAGAAGAAAGCAGTTACACAGAGAGGAGGTTAGAACCAGACTCTCACATTTTTAGGATGGCCGATCTCTTGCCCAACATCATTCTGAGAAAGTCAGGATAGTTGAATGTCTCCCCACAGCCACCAGACACCTCTCCAATTAATTTCTTTAGTTCTAAGTGGGTCTTAGGAGCCCCAAGTTTCTCCAGCATTCGTTTCAGGGACATGATATCTGAAGGCAAAGGATCAAAATAGGAAATAAAACAGGCTGGGAAGGTAGCTAAATGGCTCTGCCACTCTATGCTTGCCTCACATGCATGAGGCCCTGGGTTCGATTCCTTAGCATCACATAAACAGAAAAAGCCTGCACTGTGGCTCAAGTGGTAGTGTGTTTGCCTTGAGCTGAAGAGCTGAGGGACAGTGCCCAGGTCCAGAGTTCAAGCCCCACAACCAACACACACACACACACACCCCAAGATAGGAAGAAAGGGGGGAATTCCTCTCTCTTCTTCTGCACCTCTACATTCCCACTCCCCCTCCTACTGAGGCAGGACAGCCCTCTCCCATGCATGGGGGTTGGAGTAAATAAAGGACACCTCCCTTTGCCTGGATTTGCATGCTCCCCCCACATGACCCTTTTCTCACCAATGTCTCCATTTCCGTTCAGATCAAACTCCATGTATTTCTCTGAATGAAGGGAGAGAGCAGACATGGTAAATGCTGGCTGTAGGGGTCATGGGTAAGAGACAGAAAGAAAGAGGTGGCTGACTTATGCTAGGTAGGTGAGAAAGTGTGGAAGGGGGAAGGGGGATGAACAGACAGAGGAAGTGGGGTTGAGGACTGAGGGCCCTGTTGAGGTGGAGGGAGCTAGAGAAGATGCTGAAAAACGACAAGTCAGGGGAAAGGATTGAAATACGGGAGGGGAACATAGAGTCAGATGCCCTTCTTCCCACCCTAGAAGGCAGCTGTGTGTTTTTCTGGCCATTCTAGGTTCTTGGGGAAATCCTAGTGTCCCCCCTCCTCCCTCCACCTACTCCAGGCTCCCTCTCTACCCCACAGTTTTCCTCTCACTCTTGAAGGTTTCCAGTTTGGAGGGCAAATCCTCATCACTGCTGTATTTGGGATCATCCAGAAACTGCTGTTGGGAGGAAGGTAAGAGCAAGGGTCAAAAGTTGGCTCTTTCGGTACCAAGCCTGTCCTCCGTGCTTTGCCCTCAGTACTTCTTTTTACCTTGTTGATCTCTTCCAGTCTCTCTTCCTGCTGAGCCTTCAGCAATCCAAAAGCTTTTCCTCCTGAGGGACACAGAGGTTAATCACCCCTCCCTTCCTTTCCTCCCTCTACACCCGCCCAGGGTCACCCCAATTCTGCCCTTCTGACTCCCCAGCCCAGTCATGCCCTTCTCCTTACTCCAGGATCTCCTACTACAAGTTCAGCCTCCCTACCCTGTAAGTCCCTGGTTTGGCTCATAGTTCAGCAGATACTGGTGGCTGTTGATAGGGAGAGAGACCAGGCTGATGTGTCTATCTGTCTGCCAGCTCTTCTTTCTACCAGTCTCCTCTAAGAGCCTTCTCGCACACTTCCCCTTTCCCTTCATTCCTTCTTCCTCTATCTCCCAGGCCTAACTTCCCCATTAGCTTCTGCTGACGGTAGCAGCCTAGGAAGAAGGGAAAGTATAAAATAAAATGGAGATGATGTAATATACTGCTAAATTCATCTTTCTTTCTTACTTTTTCTTTCTTTCCTTCCTTCCTTCCTTCCTTCCTTCCTTCTTTCTTTCTTTCTAAGACAGGGCCTCATTATGTATCAAAATCAATGGCTGAACCTCCTGGGCACAAGTAATCCTCTTGACTCAGCTCTCTTTGTGGTTGGGACTAAAAATTCATGCTACCCGTGCCTGGCTCTGCATATTTCCTCTTAATGAGAACCCAGTGTGCATGAAAGAAATATTTTGAGCCCACCTCTGCTGACTCACTCCTGTAATCTTAGCTACTCAGGAGGCTGAAATGTGGAGGATGGTAGTTTAAAACCAGCCCAGCCAGGAAAGTCTGAGAAACTCCCATCTCTAAAATAACCAGCAAAAGGCTAGGGCTCCAATGCTAGAACATTAGCCAAGCAAGCCAAGCAAATATGAGTGATGTTCTGAGTTTAAACCTTGGTATTGGTTAGAGAGAGAAAGAGAGAAGAGAAAGATACTGTGTTTGCAACTGGAGGTGTGAGGAGAAGATAATAAGGCTTCAGAAGGCATTTTTCTTAGGAATAAATAAATGGCTGTTAACCAGCTCCTGAGCTTCAGGTAGCTATAAAGAGTCACATTTTGCCAGGCACTGGGGGTTCACACCTGTAATCCTAGCTACTCAGGAGGTTAAGATCTGAGGATCACAGTTTGAAGCCAGGCTAGGCAGAAAAGTCCACTCTTTATTTCAAATAAATTACCCAGAAAAAGCTGGAAGTGGTGCTGTGGGTCAAGTGGTAGAGCACTAGCCTTGAGCACAGAGAGACTCAGGGACAGGGCTCAGGCCCTAAGTTCAAGCCCCATGACTGGCAAAAAAAAAAAAAAAAGTGTTTTGTTACATTTGATGAGTCTAGACACATGGGTCAGGACAGGAAAGTAAGGCAGGACTGCTTCAATTTTTCTGCACTGTGAAATTTGTTGTCAGCACCAGGAGTTGGACAAGATGGGTATGGAATCTGGGAAGAAGAGCAACCTCACCAGACAGCTCCTGAGCACTTGAAAATATGGAAATGTCTAATGATTTGATATATTTGCTTTAGGATGCAGTAGCATTCTCTCGTCTTTCAACTTTAGTAAAATCTACAGAGCTCAGGAATTTGAGAATTTAAGTGGGTTATTTGGAGGAACCGAAAGTGGTACTGAAAGAGAAAAACCACAAGACTGTGTATGTGTATGTGCCGTCATGCATATTAGTTGTGCTGCTTAGCGTGTCAGTTTATCCAAGTGGGTGAGGAGCCTCCAATAAATGCCTCTCTGCCTATAGTCCTTATCCCCTTTGCCACTGATTGTCTGTGCCTCCTGTAGATAATTGGCCCTTGATTTCCCCTATTGTTTCCCTAGATGATTTGCTTTTCCATTATGTTTAAGTTTTCTCATCTCGTTTGCTTTGCTTATGTATAATAATTTTGATGGGTTTGATTCCACACACCTTGTGTGCTTTTAGCCTATATAAGCTTTTTTTTTTTTTTTTTGGCCGGTCTTGGGGCTTGAACTCTGAGCTGGGCACTGTCCCTCAGCTCTTCAGCTCAAGGCTGCCATTCTACCACTTGAGCTACAGCGCCACTTCCTGCTTTTTCTGCTTATGTGATGCTGCGGAATAGAACCTAGGGCCTCATGCATGCAAGGCAAGCACTCTACCACTGAGCCAACTTCTCAGCCCCCTATATAAGCTTTGTACTAGCTGCATTCGGGGCTGCTGGTCTTTGAGACGAGTCTACCAGCAGTCCTCCAGCTCTCATAATTTGGCCTTTTAAGTGGTGGCTTCTCTTGTTTCTTGCAACTGAGTTTTCTTACTACACAATTGGCTACTGGATTGCAGGATTGGTGAAGACCAAGTCTCCCCCTCATGGAGAGGTCCTTGACCAGAGTCCCTGGCCAGGGCTCCACCATTATGAAGACCCCGATGTCTTCAGCCTCTTCCTCTTTCACAGCAGGATTTTCACTTCCAGCTCTTCCTAACCTGATAGGGTGAGGGTAATGCTGAAATGGGTTCTAGTTTCTACATTTCCCTTTATAGCTACTGCTTTCTCTTCCCAGCTTCTTCAAGAGCCACAACCCTGCTCTGCTGGTTCTCTGATGCCTGATGGGGACAGGTCATTTCTCTAGTCATTCTGTTTATTGAATGCCAAGCATGCTTCTAGGCTTGGTGAAATGAATGAAAATGCTTGTCTAATTGGGGAAAGCAGACAATACAAATAGACATATGTTAAGGACAATGGAGGGAAAAGTAGGGAAAGAGAATAGGGGTTCTGTGCATAGAAGGCAGGTTTGAGTAGAGCAGTCAGGGAGGCTTCTCTTAGAAAAGTGACATTTGATTAGATTTAGAGGAGGTGCGGGAACAAGCTATGTGGAAATGTGAGTAAAAGGAAAATCATACCACTTTTCTTGATGCTCAGCATTTCATGTGAACCAATCAATTCTCTAATTCTTGGTAGAAACTGAGCTGAGTTCTAATGCTGTCTGCCAATCTCAGAAGTTAAAAGGGCTTGTTCCTTAGGATTGTTCCCTAATTGAGATGCCTTGATGGAGAATTCACCACACAGGGATGGCTGATTTTGTCATTCACCATTGATTGGAGGTAAGGAGGTAGAGGTGAAAGTTCTCCCTTATGATCCAGTTCCACACAATTGCATATAAGCCTTGCATAACAAGGTTCACATACCTTTTTTGGAAAGATGACTTTACTAACATAAATTCAGAGGTAGTTAAAGAGTACTGTGAGGAGCTGGGAAGGTGGCTCAATGGTAGAGTCCTTGCCTTGCATGCATGAGGCCCTGGGTTCAATTCCTCAGCACCACATAAGCAAAAAGAAAAAAGCCAGAAGTGGCACTGTGGCTCAAGTGGTAGAGTGCTAGCCTTGAGCTGAAGAGCTGAGGGACAGCGCCCGGGCCCAGAGTTCAGGCCCCACAACCGGACTCACCCCCCCAAAAAAAAGTACTGTGAGCCCAGCTCCAGTGGCTCAAACCTGTAATACTAGTCTGTGAGACTTTTTTTTTTTTTTTTTTTGTCGGTTGTGGGGCTTGAATTGTGAGACTCTTAACTCCAATTAACCACCAGAAAACTGGAAGTGGTGCTGTGGTTTAAAGTGGTAGGGCACTGGCATTGAGCAAAAAACCTCAGAGGCAGTACTCAGGCTGTGAGTTCAAGCCACAGCACCACTTCCAGTTTTCTGTGGTTAATTGGAGTTAAGAGTCTCACAGACTTTCCTGCCCAGGCTGGCTTTGAACCTCGATCCTCAGATCTCAGCCTCCTGAGTAGCTAGGATTACAGGCGTGAGCCACAGGCACCTGGCTCCCTTAGCGTTTTTGATCAAGGTTGGCACTTTACCACTTGAACCTCTGACTTTTTGCTACCTAACCGGAGTTAAGAATCTGTGGTGACTGCTCAGACTGGCTTTGAATTGTGATCCTCAGATCTTAGCCTCCTGAGAAGCAAGGATTACAGTGTGAGCTATTGGCAGTGCTTGTTTATAGCAGCTTGTAGTAGGCTTCTGGGCAGAGAGCTATAAAGAATGCATTGTAGGACTACAACAAGGTAGCCACTTTGAACTTGGAAAATGAAGGGAATCGTTTATTCCTGACAAGTCAGCTGCAATCTCGATCTACAAACACAGACAGAATCTCCTCCTCAATCTGTGGTTCTCAAAATGTGGATCTGCCACCACCATCACAAATTAGATATTCACATGATAGGTCCCAAACTTACTGAATTGGAAACTGCTAGTGGAGCCCAACAGTAATCTGATGTGCACTCAGAATAAGCACTGATAAATACTTCAGATACTTTTGTTGCTGTTGTTGTTGGTCATGGGGCTTGAACTCTGGGCTGGGCACTGTCCCTCAGCTCTTCAGCTCAAGGCAAGCACTCTACTGCTTGAGCCACAGCACCACTTCCGGTTTTCTAGTGGTTTATTGGAGATAAGAGTCTTACGGACTTTCCTGCCCAGGCTGGCTTTGAACCATGATCCTCAGATCTCAGCCTCCTGAGTAGCTAGGATTACAGGCGTGAGCCACTGATGCCGGGCTCTCTTCAAATACTTCTGATATGCACTGAGATTCAGGAGCCATTGCCCTGAAGTAGCATGGCTCCCAAGCTTGCAGGGTTTGCTGGGCCATCACCAAAGGTGCTGACAGGGCCATGGATGCTGCTGCCCTCGCTCAGTCTTGGAGGCATGGAAAGAACTGAATCACTCAGGCCAAGGTTGTTTGAATCTAGTTAGGAAGCTGGGAAGAGAATGCTGGGCTTGTTTTTAGGACTAAACCTGTGAGAACTCCATGAAATTAGAGCCCCTTTTCCAAGTGGCATGTGTTGCTAAGGGCCCTTGTTGTGCTTCTATGGTCTCCAGGGAGACTGCTCATTAGTCGGGCCCTATGAAGTATGCCTTCGGGAAGAGAATGTACCTGGTCAGAAAGCTTGTGTGTGTGTTTCTGTCCTGGGTGTCCCTTTGCCACTCTGTTTTTCTCTCTCCTACTCTCTCTTTTCCCCCAGGAGACTAACCTGTAGAGACTACGTCAGAGGGCATTCTGGGGCTGACAGCACGACAACGGGAGGGACAGCACAGGGTTGGGGTGTTCATTCTTGTGAGTATGGTCTCACAAGATCGCCTCACACTGACCTGACCCTCGACGAGGGACAATATTCCTCTCCAAGCATTTGCCCTGCGTATCTTCCCCAGATTTCAATAACCCAGGAGATAGACTTCAGGAATGGTGGGGGGAGGGGAAAAAGTATATCCCTTTCAAGGCTCATACTCATGTGTTTTTTGTCAAAGACCAATTCACAGGTTCAAGGTTCTTAATTCAAAGCTGGGTGTGATGACTCTTGC